TGAGTGTATTGTCTCGGGATTGTTCAATCTGTGTGTGCTGCCATTGCCGCTAGCAGGCTGGAGAATTGCTGTTGCATGTATGGTTATTTATTTATTTCACCAGCAATAGTAGAAGTTGAGCGCGCACACTCACACAGCTGACTCACACATGGTGGGTTGGGGCATGTGCATGTGTCAGCCGAAGCCAAGCATAGTCTGTCCCGCGTTCTCATCTGGCAGTTTTTAGGCATATACTAGAAGTGTGTGAGTCACCTCTCGCATAGCGGCATCTGCTGTCTATGATGAACAGGGACACGCCTGCATCATTCACTACTCATGGCTTCATTTTTTCAAAGTGCAAGCTCCAGTTTGGCAGATCTGTGATCATGAGTTAGTAGTTAGAGTGCAATCAGCCACACGGGTTTGTGTGTGTGTGTGGGTGTGCGTGCATGCAGTGCTGCGTTTTTAGTCTTGGCGTAGCTACTTGGCTAAACCTCGAAAACCTGATGCAAACACGACTTTCCGCCACAGGCACCGCACATCTACAATTGTGAATTTGTAATTGTCTTACATTCGATTACGCGTGAGTGTGGTGGACGCGCATGCGCGTGTGCACGCTACGTGGGTTAGGCACCCAGCGTTAGGATTTTCTAGAGGTCACTCTTACGAGTAGCAAACCCCTGCTACGCGCGCGGTTACTCCGCCATGTCTGCGAATCGTGACGCGAGCGTCGTTGTCATGCACAGGCCGCAGCGGGCGCCCTCTAGCGGTGTGCCCGTGGCGTACAGCGTCGAGGTGGTGCCGAGCGCGACGGAGCCCGGCTGGGAGGAGGTGAACGTCGTCGGCGTGACGGCGCGGCCGACGCACGTGGCCTACGCCACGCTCGCGTCGCGCTTGCAGAGCTACGAGACGTGGCCACACGAGACGCGTGAGCAGCAGCCGCAGCAGCTCGCCGAGGCTGGCTTCTTCTATGCAGGTACGCGGTGTGTGCGTTCGTGCGCGCTTGTGTTCATGTGCGTGTATGTGTGAGGTGCGTGCATGGGTGTGTGCGTGCGTGTGTGTGTGTGTCATGTGTATGTGTGTGTGTGCCATGTGTATGTGTGTGTGTGTGCGTGCGTGC